CAGCAGCCCTTTCTTCTGACTCATGCCTCCTTTGGTTCCTTTCCCGTCTGGATGAAGGCATCATTACCCAACCAGGCACCTGATGCACACCACAACAATGAGTTCCTCATCTGCCCCCCACCCCACCCCCATGCCTAGTCAGAATAGAATGGAGTCCTGTGGCAACTCTTTCCCCCCTCTCCCATGTCCGTTCCCTCTCTACTGTAACTGCTCAGCTGCAGGCCTCCATTTATATACAAGCCAGGAGCAGAGACGCTCTGGCTTCCACACGGGCTCCTTTGAACCTATTTCCCACATTGCTGTAGAAGATTCTTTGAAGAGGGTGGAAGAGATCATTTGACTCTTGCCTCCTTGCATCATTTTGCCTGGCTCCCCTCTGCTCCCCGCTTAAAGCTGAGTCCCCTCATCTTGCTCAGTGGGGTATTTTACTGCCTACTTCCTGCCAGCCTTGCTGACCTTCTGCCTTTCTGCATTCCCTCAAAGGTGAATGCCAGCTATACACTATTGCAATGTATAGCAACAGGGATAGAAATAATATTATCCATTACAATCCCCACTTTATTTATCTCCTTGGACAGACCATACATTCCTCTCCGACGAAACATAATCTCATTCATCTTTGTATTCTTGGTACCTTATGACAGCATTTACAACTTAACAGACACTCAGTAAGTGTTTGCTGAATGGCTGGATGGCTGGAGGACCAGCTCGACAAATGGCTGAATGACTAATGGCATATGTACACATACTAGAAGTTAGTAGATAAAGAAGAAGTGAAAGAATTGTAACATCCCAAAGATTGTGCTCTTTTCCTGTCCCAGAAACATGGACACATGAAAAGCCCAATACAGTGCAGTCTTTACTTACATTCTCATCTTCTCCTTTGAATAAATATTTGCTTAATCATGGTGATAGAATTACATTTGTTTGGGTTTAGATTTATTTTATTTTTATCCGCATGCATGTGTATATGTCTATGTGAGTCTATGCCACATGTATATAGATACCCACAGAGTATTGTGTTGGCGTTGGACTGCCTGGAGCTGGAGTCACGGGCAGTCATGAGTGGCACAATGTGAGTGCTGGGAACCGATGCCCCGGCCTCTAGAACCACAGCAAGCTCTCTTAACTGACGAGGAGCCATCGCTTCAGACTCTGTATTTTCATCTTATTCCGTTGCGTCATTTCTAAAAGCTGCACTGGCAGAAACATTCTGGAAGTCTCTTCAGCTAAAGACAAGTAAGTCAAGGTACGCCCGAGTCCCCTCCGGCTCTCTGATTACAACACCCACAACTGACCACTGCACAGTCAGTGGGACCCTGCACACTGAAGGAGGAAATGGAAGTTACTGTCGGAACCAAATCAGTGAAGCAAACAGAAAAAAAAAGTTAAAAATTAAAAAAAAAAAGAGTCCCCAAGCAGAGAAAAACAGAAAAATGCTCAGAGTAGACTTTCCTCGTCAATTCTCCTTTTCCTTGCCTTTCATTTCCCTTCAGCTTATAAAAAAAAAATTTAACTTATAAAAGCATTTAATCATCTTTGCAGGACATTTACAGCAATATAAAATGATGAGTATCAAATGATTTATTTTCAAGTAAATCTGAAGAATAGGTTTTGCTCACATTGTGGGAGAGTTGACATGTGGAACGCGATGACGAACCTTAAAAAAAGAAAACAACTGAGGTCCACCTTAAAACTGGGTCTAACCTGAAAGGATCAGAGTCTTGAGCAGGTCAGGGCTGCCTTCTGCTTCGACCAGCGTCTTGGGCGAAGAAGGGTCGATGGTGAATTGCTTCCCTATGAAGTTCCGGCAGGTTATCTTAAAGAGATGAGAACAGACGGCGCTTAGGCATGTGTGTTTTAAAGTCTGGCTCACTTGAAATGTTTGTCTCAGTCTCTGTCAAAATAAATGTGGAACAGTACCACAAACAAAAGCTGGTGGAGTGGCACTCAGTCACGAGGACTTCGGGGAAAACACGGCTATATAATTTTTCCATATTTCCCTTGTACACAGCCCAGCTGGGAGAACATTGGGGAAATTATGTGCAGCAATTAGAATATGATTTTCTGATATTTCATAAATCCGCTGATCTAAATATATATTCCATTATGTGAGCTGAAGCACATTTCAAATGCAAGCTTCCTTTCCAAAGGCAGATTTGGTTCCAGCCTACTTATAATTAATGCAATTTTAACTTCCCTGATGAAGTTTTTCCAAACTAATTGCTTCTGTAATATTGTGACAATTTCTTGAACAGATGTTTGAGTCCTCAAATTGTAAATTATGTGAACACAGAAAAGTGTTTAGATGAAAGCAAATTCCTTTAAAGAGTCCAAGACCCTGTTCCCTCTATGTTTCTACTCATATCCCTTGGTCTAACCCCAGCCAATCACTCAAGATACAGCTGTCTCTCAGTCCCATGTGGTGCAAACGCTTCTTCACTGTCCCTTAAGGCCTTTCCATAATGAGATGGAAACTGAGTCTGGGAAGATGCAGACTCCTTCCTACCATTTACTAAAGCACACCAGCATGGTCCATCCTTTTCCCCCAACCTCTTCAAACAAATCTTTATTGACTGCCAGTGTGTCCTGCACTGTGACTTACTAAAAGGATGGTGTGCAGCAGCAGAGAACCAAACAAAAGTTTCTTGCTGTGGATATAACTCTATATAAATAAAACACAGGCCAGTGACCAGGCAGGAAGTATAGGTGGGACAAGGAGAGAGGAGAATTGAGGGAACAGGAAGAAGGGAGGAGAGACACTGCAGCCACCGCCAGGACAAGCAACATGTAAAGACGCTGGTAAGCCACCAGCCACGTGGCAAGGTATAGATTTATAGAAATGGGTTAATTTAAGATATAAGAACAGTTAGCAAGAAGCCTGCCATGTCCATACAGTTTATAAGTAATATAAGCGTCTGACTGATTATTTTATACGTGGATTGTGGGACTGCGGGGCTTGGTGGAACCTGGAGAGAAGCCCTCCAGCAACAGTTTCTATTCCAAAGGAACATATTTTGGCGGGTTCCAAGAACAAACACAATACTGAAATACATAATGTAGCACATTAAAGAGTTTTAGCTGCCAAGGAAGAATGGTGTGAATGGACACATAGTTATAAATACCAAAGAAAAGGAAAAGTTTGGCCAAGAGTAGGAAAGATGAGGGGGAAATCATTGTGGGCATGTGGAAGGAAATGCATGCCATGCAAAAATAATAAAGATGTGATGTCCCGGAGGTGAGATGTCTTAAGGATAATGTAGTTAAAACATGCAGGTACAGACAGGTATGGTCTAGGGCACCTGGAATCCCAATACTCAAGAGGCAGGCACTGAAGGACTGCTGTAAGTTCAGGGCCAACCTCGTGTGCACAGTGAGTTCCAGGCCAGCCACGGCTATATAGACCCTGTCTCAAGAATAACCAAATAAAAATAAATCTTAAAAATGTGCAGGAGAGCTGGGTGTGGTGGCCCATGCCTACAACCCCAGGACTCAGGAGTCAAAAGCAAGAGCATCAGGAGTTCAAGGTCACCCTCTACTATATGGGTCATTCTTGAGCTATATGAGATCTTGTCCAAGATACACAACAAAACACCTGTTGGGAAATTACCAAGCGCTAGCCAATAACAAAGGCATAAGCCATACAGAACAAGGCATAGTAAGCCTTGATGAAGAAGCTTACTTTGCTCTAAATCCCATGTACGATTGTAATCTGACTTGGGTTTTCAAAGGGCTGTTTTCATCCACTGCATTGAGAATAGACTGCAGGCTGGAGGTAGGGCACAGCATAATTACAAAGTCACCAACTCCAGCAAATACACCGATAGCTGGATCAGAGGATGGTCAGTGCTGAGAGCTAGTTAGATTCTGATCGCGTTTTGAAGACAGGATTTGGAAAGCCATGTGAGTGGGGTGTGAGAACAAGAGCCAGAAGCGGCATCGGGGTACCTGGCATGCACAGTTAGGATGGCGCCATCATCAGCTAACAGCTCTTGGGAGAACAGGCTTGTTTGTGGTCAGCTGATCCAGGTAGAGTGTGGATCGGCTGCTTAGGGATAACCTTCTGGAGGAAGGGCAGGGAGGTGTCCATTTTGTAGCATACCCACACTTCATTCTGATTCTTCAATCAAGAGCTAATCTAGACAATACTGTGCCAGGATTCTGTGGAAACTGAGGTACCTAATTAGCTAACTTTAAAATAGAGTGGCCATCCTAAGTGGACCTGGCCTAATCAGGAGAAGTCCTTAGCAGGCATTGATCTCCAGGACTTCACATACCAAACAGCAGCTGAACTTGCAATTGCTCTCTTCTCTACAAAACAAGAGTGTGGACTGATTCCTAACCACTAAGAAGAATGTACAGGAGGTAAGGCACTCATCTGGCCATGAAGAACTTCTGGGAGAAAAGGAGAAAATGGAGTGCTCACTGGAATCCCAAACACGGGTGTGAGGAGAGGGACTGGATACGGGCCCACTGGCAAGGGCCTTTGGGAAGGCAAATTCAGAGGCGGCACAAATCCATATTTGTGCAATCAGTCAACTGGAAAACTTACACCTCTCTCTTCCTCCGTCTCTGTCAAGACTACCACGGTTCCCATGAGCCTTGAACATTTTCACATTTGTGGGCCCAGTAATCTATTTAAAATGCATATTAAAATTATAGTTCATTGAATGAGTTGGTATAAGTACAAAAAACAAGCCACAGGAAAAATGAAAACATTTTCCTTTGTTCTAAAAGTTACTTTTTTTTTTTCTTATTTTAAAACGAATTCAAACGTTAAACAGGCCCCTGAAAACTACTGTGGGATCGAGGTACCGTTCCCATTGCTTCTAAGGAGTGTGTCCTTAGTGGATGTGCGTTTCTTGTGGAGAAGGCCTTAACATCTGGTTTGCTGTGTCTGGAGAGTGCTGAGAAAGAGCAGGCTGTCAATAACGTTTTTGGATCTGGATGGAGAACGCCCAAGTGAAAATACTGCTTAGTCGGCTCCGAAATCTTTCCCTTTTCTGTGCGCGGAAACAGGAAGCCGCGCAACGGCATGAGCAGCATCCCCGCTTACCTTCTCTCCTTTTTCAGCCTCGTATCTGGCACAAGCCTGTTGAGAGACATCGGGGCCCCCGAACTTTTGTATCCTCACGAGCAGCTGGCGCTGTGCGTACACCAACAGCGGCGTCACTTGCTCCGTATACCTCTCGCTGGGTCGTGGTAAAGAATTACATTGAAAAGTTAACTTGAGCTAAAGGACCATCCTCCCCCCTCCCCCTCAAAAAAAAGAAGTCCGTTCCCTTTAGATGCTTCGGGGCCAGACGTACTGTGAAATGATGTTGAACTGGATGGCGAGAGACACCAGTGTCTCCCATTTCTCCACTTGGTACAGAAGCTCCAGAGACTTTAACACGAAGTCACGGATCCATTTCAGATCAACCACATTGATGTCATCCAAAGGATGCTCGAAAGTCAGGCTGGAACCCCCGTTATCGTATTTGATGTTCCCGTAACAGCTGGGAACGCTGAAGTCACCTTTCTCTTCCACCGGCTGCAGGAAGCACATGGAGATGAGATGCCCGCCCAGCTTAAGGTCTTACTACATATTCTCCCGGTAAATAAATGCAATAATGCAACACGAAGAGGAACTGAACAAGAAAGTAAACTAATGCTATGTGAGTCACAGCTCTGTAATGGGAGATGGTGCTGTACACTAAAATCCTCAGTGATGATGAAATGTGCTAGGTTTGTGTGCACTGCAATTTAATACATTCACCAGATGTGTGTGGCTCTGATTATTTGAAATGTGATGGTGCAACTGAGTTTTTAATTTTGCCTGCTTTTAACTATTTCACATTTTAATTTGTTAAATGGCAGCTAATATTTATTAGACAGCAGAGGCAGAGGTCTGTTCTTCTTGGCATGTATTCATTGTTGGTTTAAGTAAGGACATTAAACCACTATGATAAAGCTTTTAGGAAAAGCATTTAGTTTGTACAAATAAGAATCTTTCGTGGTATGTTGGGCACATTAACTAGCATGTAGAATACTATCCCCAATTCCTTAATACAAAAATCAATTTTACAGAGGTGTCTTAGTTGGGGTTATTATTGCTATGATAAAACACCATAACCAAAAACAATTTGAGGAGGAAAGGGTTTATTTGGATTACACTTCCATATTGCTGTTCATCACTGAAGGAAGTCAGGACAGGAACTCAAACAGGGCAGGATCCTGAAGGCGGGAGCTGATACAGAGGCCATGGAGGGAAGCTGCTTACTAGCTTGCTCTCCATGGCTTGCTCAACCTGATTTCTTATAGAACCCAGAACCATCAGCCAGGGATGGCACCACCCACAATGGGCTGGGCCCTCCCCATGGGTCACTAATTGAGAAAATGCCCTACAGCCATAAAACCAGCCAGCACAACTGACTCCTTGTCAACCCGACACACAAACACATCACTATTGAGCCACAACCTTTCCTTTCTTATTCATCCCCAAATATCACACATTAATTTCAATATTACAATATAAAAATACTTTCAAATTTTAAAAGCTCCACAAGTCTTAGAAATACAAACATTTTAAAAATTCAGTCTGCTCTAAAGTCCAAAGTATTTTATAAAATACAAAGTTCCCAACTGTGCACTCTTATGAAAACAAAAATAAATACTTTCTTACTTCAAGAGAGAAGAACCAGGGCACAGTTACAATCTGAACAAAGCAAAGACAAACTCCAACTATGTAAATAACTCAGTGTCCAATGTTTGGGATCCACTCATGGTGGTCTGGGTTCCTCCAAAGGGCTTGGACAGCCATGCCTAGCACACGAAGCTTATCTTCCAGGCTCTGGCTGGCTCCACTCCACTGCTGCTGGTGCTCATTCTCTGGTCCTAGCATCTCCAAAATGCTGGGGTCTCTTGCTGCGACCACACTGCACTTGCACCAATAGCCTCTCCCGGACTTCTCTGCAGGACCATTTTGATCCTGGGCCTTCAACTGCTAAGGAGCCTGCACCATCCCCAGTGGCCTCTCCTGGTCTCTCAGTTCCCAGTCTCAGCTGCTCTTCACGCCTTCAAACTTAGCACCACCTGGGAGACTCTCATGCATCACCAAGTTCAGCTTCCATCAGGAAGCACATCCTTGGCCTCTGGAACGAAGCTTCTGTGCACTGACTCTGAGGAAACAATTCTTAGAAGATCTCACCTCCAGGATGCTGGTCTCTTCTTAATCACTGCTAATTTCTCAGCTCCAACTGACCAGCATAACTGTCCCAGTGGGCAAAGGTTTCACTTTAGTTGCCCTGGTATCTTGGTAATCACAGCCAATTCTTCAGCCCCAGCTAACCAGAACCACAGATTCTTAACTCAAAATACGTAATGGCCCCACTGGAGTCAAAGTGACTCCAACTTGCCTCTGGAACTTCACAAGCAGGCCTCCATTATCTACTTTTCTCTCAATGTTCTTATCTTCCAAGCTTCCACGGAACAAAACTCACCGAGCTTTGAATACTTGATGGCTTTTCTGTACCAAAGTTCCAAAGTCTTTCCATAGTCTTCCCAAGGGCAATAAGGTCAGGTCTGTCACAGTAATGCCCATTATCCTGGTACCAGTTTCTGTCTTAGTTAGGGTTACTGTTGCTCTAATCAAACATCCACATCACTGCTCATCATCAAAAAGGTGAGCACAGGAACTCAAGCAGGGCAGGAACCTGGAGGCTTGCTCAACTTGACGTGCTCAATCTTCTTTCTTATAGAACCCAGGACCACTAGCCCAGGGATGGCACTACCCACAATGGACTTGGCCTTCCACTTCAATCACTAGTTAAGAAAATACCCTGCTTGCTTACCTGCAACCTGGTCTTAGGGAGGCATTTTCTCAACTGAGGTTCCCTCCTCACAGATAATTATAGCCTGTGTCAAGTTGACATAAAACTAACCAGCACAGGAGATTGTCTCTAGAGGCCTGCCTGATACTTTTGTACAGAAACGTTACTATTTTAACTACAATTGTGCTCATTTCCCATGAGACCTGATGCATTTGTGTATTCCTCTGATAATTCCTGCAGCAAAGCAAAATGTATAGCCAAATGGGGTCAGCCCACTCTGTCCTGGTGAGTCATTAAGAGTAACCATGTGCCACAGAGGAAAGACATGAACAAAAATGGAGACTGAGCAACATCTACTCCTTCAAGCTAGAAAACTGCCTGGCTGTAGAAGATCAGAGAATGAAATGGGGCTAAAGCACGTATTGTCCACGTGAGGTTTGCACCTTACACAGGGCCATGCTCAAAGGGAACAGTGTTGAGAGTTATGAGCCCAGGTCCCAATCCTCTGAGTCTGCGGTGTGTGTGTAAGGAGCTAGCTCCAATTCCTCCTTTCTCTCTGATCCCCAAGAGGCCTCAGCACACACCCTCCTCTCATTGACCTGTCCCCCTCAGCCCTTTCTGGCTTGCCATGCTGACATACCATGTCAGGTACTGGGCTCATTTCTAGGGTGAAGGATGAGGAAGTCCTCAGTAGTGACCATATGTTCCAATACAGAGTTCACTAACAACCAAGCTGGGATTCTATCTCAAGGTACCTTGTTCAACATCCATCTCTCCATTGACTCCAACCTGATGGGCCAGGGCAGGGGGAGCATGATGTGTTACCAGACAAAACTAAGAAGCAAGCAGAGTGGACACTTCAGGACTGAAATAACATTTGGAGGGTAGGGGTTTGGGTGTGGTCACACTTTAAGATTGTAAAGATTTATTATGTACCATGTGCGATTCTTTAAGATGTTTTATTAAAGACAACTTACAGTGCCTAAAACAGTAGGGATCGTAATAATAAGACCCTGAACACCTTCTACCAGCTTTAGTAGCTTTCAAGTTTTAGGGTGTACCCAGTTAGTTCATTATTTTTAATTATATCCCAGAAATTACACTAATCAATCTATAAATATTTCAACTTAATCTCCAAAGAGTGAAGACTTCATTTTATAAAAACATAACCATAATATCATAATCCTACTTTAAAAGTAGACAAAAATAAAGGCTGAGAGGATGATGTAGTGGGCAAAAGTACACAGCACCCAAAAGTGAGGATGTGAGTCTGAATCCCCAGAACCCATATAAACACCAGGAGCCGTAGCATCCACACCCCAGGGCAAGATGGGAGGTGGACATGGAAGCTTGTGGGCCAGCTAGCCTGGCATCCACAGCCCCACAGCAAAACAACAAAGAGACCTTGACCAAGAACAAAGATCGGCATGCTGTGGCACTCACACACCTGCAAACACATAGACATGTATACATATCATTCACACAGACACAATCATACACACATGCAAAAAAAAAAAAGCAAAGCTCTTAAAATCATTCTTCAATAACCACACTGGAAATGCTCCCATTTCCTGAAAGGAGATTTGCACAAGGCCCAAACTGCAATTTGGGTATGGCTTTTTAATCCGTGATTTTATCTCCCTTTTTAAAATTTCACTTTGTTGTTGAAGAAACCATGTTGCTTCCTAGAGCGCTCCTGAGGGCTTGATTCTGTTGACTACATTCCTAAGGCGTTCTTTGAAAGGTCCCGCTCAACTACATGTGGGTCACCTGTGAGGTCTGAATGCTCGATCTGATTAGTTTGGGGTTTTTTCTGACTGGTGTACTCCAAGCCATTCTTCCTCCACTTAATCCATCCGCTGAGAACTGACAAATCTTGATATTGTGCGTCTAACAGCCTTCCTTCATTTACCACGTGAATACTTGCATTTAAAAGTTTCCCTCACAGTTATTAGAGGCAGGCTAACCCCACATGGCCCTGGTCCCTTCAGTGAAAAACAGAGTTTAAGACCACATCCTAGGTGCTAGCCATGGCCACTTGCATTGGGGGCCTTTTAATTCTACCTCCTTTGTTGTGTTTCAAGTTTGCATGTAGTCTGCCTTCAGATTCTCCATCTGTACTGTTGACACACTGCCTTCTTCATGCCAGTACCATAGTCTCCCAGGGACTACAGCTTGAATAAGCTTCACTTGGGTGGTGAGTCCTGAAAGTCCCATTTGTTTTAAAGACTTGCTGGAGGGGTGGAGGCTGGGGCCAAGAAGATTCACTTTCATTTGCATTTGCTTATGAATTTTAGAACAGTCAACATTTTTAAAATGCCTTTTAGATTTCCATAGATCAGTGGATCACATTGGGGGTGACTGATGGCCAGTCTTTTTGACCATAGGCAGGAGACATCTCTCTCTGTGTTTCTTTGGATCCTCTGTAACTTCATCTCAATGTAGAGATTCTTCTCCAGCTGACAGACAACTGGTGGCTTCCACTTTCATCAATTCTGCCACTTGTGGCTTTCACTTCTCGGCTCTTGTGACCAGCGCAGTAATTAGTAAGGGTGTGCAGGTATCCCTCAGATATTTCCTTGGATATGCGCTCTCTGGCAAGACTTCAAGAGCATATCAGAGTTAATTGCTGAGTAACCTCTGCACTGTTTCCACAATGCCTTCACCAATTTCCAGCTGCTGCGTCAACAGTGAGTACCAACCCCCCTTTCTCCACGCCATCATCTCCACGTGTTATCTTTTGTCATTTTAAGTCACCATTACCCCAAATGGGAAAGGTGACAGCTTAGGGTAATTCTGACTTGCATCTCCCTGCTAATCAATGATGCTGAGCATTTTCAAGTCACCTTTGGAATATTCATGTTTTTTTCAATTTATTTATATATGTCTTTATTACTGAATTGCGTGCGTGTGTGTGCTCTATGTGTGGAAAGGAGGCATGTGTGCCACGGCACACATGTGGGGGTCAGAGGACAGTCTCATGGGGTCACTTCTTTCCTTCCACCTCTGCGTGAGCTCTAGGGACTAAACTCAGGTCATCAGGCTTACACACGGCACAACCTTTATGCACTGAGGCATCTCACCATCTGTGAAGGTCTTATTTTGAAAAAGGTCTATATACATGTGGTGCTCATTTTCAATCAGCATACTGAGATTTCTTCTTTTGCTATTTAGCTGAGTACCAAGCACACTTTAATACTGATTCTTTGCCAGGCGGCAGTGGCACACACCTTTAATACCAGCACTCAGGAGGCAGAGCCAGGCAGAACTCTGTGAGTTCGAGGCCAGCCTGGTCTACAGAGTGAGATCCAGGACAGGTACCAAAACTACATGGAGAAACCCTGTCTTGAAAAAAAAAAAACTATATATATAGAGAGATAGATATAGATATAGATATAGAGAGATTCTTTATCATGTATATAGTTTGCAAATATTTTCTCCAAACAGCTCTTTTAAAAAATAATCATATACACATATGTGTGTATGTTCCCATGTGTGAGGGGGCATGTGTGTGGGGTACACGTGCATGTGTGTGCATGTATACGCAGAGGTTGAAACTGAGTATTCTCCTCAATCTCTCTCTGCCTTAGACACTGAGTTAGAGCCTGCCATTTCAGCTAGTGCAGCCAGACGGCTAGCTCCAGGCTTCCTTTTTCCACTTCTTATGGCATTACAGGAAGACCGCCATGCCTGCTTGACTCTTTCCTGGGCCCTGGGGATCCGAACTCCAGGCTTCACACGTTTGGGACAAGCTCTTCGCCCGCTGAGCCATCTTTTCCGGCCATAGCCTGTCTCGTAATTCTGCTGATGGTCTCATTTGCCATTTGGAACCTTCAGAGTTTGATGTAATCCTATTGACTGAAGCTTTGCTAGGTCTTGAAACACTGTAAAACTGCACGCTTTTCTCTTGTTTCCCATTTCAATGCCATCATGTTTCCAATGTGGTTCATTCTACCCTCTCATGTTTCAATGATATATCTCTTGCCATGTTTCTACTTTCTTTTTTTTTCAGTCATTATTACTGTTATCATCTTTAGTGGCTAATTTTCTCCTTTTATTGAAAATAGGGTTTTTTTTCTCAAATAATATATCCTGATTATTGTTTCTCCTCCGTCTACTCCTCCCAGTTCCTCCCCACCTCCCCTCCCATCCAGATCCATCTCTTTTCTGTCTCTCATTTAAAAAAAAAGTTTCTAAAGGATAATAATAAAATTAAATATAATGAGATAAAATAAAAACTAGCACAATGAAATTGGACAAAACAAACAAACAGAAGGGAAAAAGTCCAAGAGAAGGCACAAGAAATAGAGATCCACTGGTTTGTGGCATACTCGGGAATCTCATAAAAACACTAAACTAAAAGCCATAATAGATACTCAAAAGACCTGTGGTGGAAAGAGAGAGAGAGAGAGAGAGAGAGAGAGAGAGAGAGAGAGAGAGAGAGAGAATAAATATGTATGTATTATCATGTATAATACATATAATATGTATGTATATACTAAAATTTAAAATAATAAAATAAAATGGGGAAACAAAGGAAAAGCCCTGACATGACATTGTGAGACAAGGAGCCTCCAAAGATGCCGCCAAGTTCATTTCTTGTCGACGTCTACTGATGGGCGTACAGCCTACCCACCCTTAAGAGTAGTTCGATTCCCATTGAGACTTCCTTGGAGGAAACTGAATTTTTATCTGCAAGTGGCTATCCATTGGAGATTGCTTCTGGGTTAGGATGAGGGGTATCCATCCCCTTCTCCTCTCAGCTCTAGGACCCCACCTGGTGCAGACCTGTGCAGGCCCTGCATACGCTGCCTCAGTCTCTGTGTGTTATGTTTCTTGATGTTCAGAATGTTTCTCTTAGGAAAAAGTAGATGTGTCTTTTTCTGCCCAAACAATCTGTGCCTTTTAATTATCCTGTTTAGCCAACTTACATTTAATATACTTATGGATATGACTGAGTTAATTTTAAGAGTTGTCTTAGTCAATGTTCTATTGCTGTGAACAAACACCATGATCATGGTGACTCTTATAAAAGAAAGTACTTAACTGGTGCTTGCTTATGGGCTCAGAGGTTTAGTCCTTTATCAGAATGACAGACACGGTGCTGGAGAAGGAGCTGAGAGCTCTATATCCAGATCGGCAGGCAGCAGGTACAGCAAAACTTTGGGCTTGCAATGGGCTTTTTAAAACCTCAAAGCCCACTCCCAGGGACACTCTCCTTCCAACAAGGCCCACCTCCTAGTCCTTTTGAATAGTGCCACTACCTATGAACCCATTGAGGCCATTCCATTCAAACCATTGCGATACTTGATATTTGGGTGTCAATTTGTCCTTTGTATGTTTTGTCCCTCTGCTCTCTCTCCTTTTAAGTTAATTATTATTTAGTCTTACTTTGCTAGCTTTTTATCTATCTCTTTTTGCTGCTATCATCCATTCCATGGGTTATGGCATACATCCTTAAATGACCACATCTCACTTAAAGTTAATGATGTAGCACTCAGTATAAATAATTTAATTTTATTTACATGCTTTGTCTTTCATGATATTGTTATCAGATACTTTCCTTTAGAAATGTTATAATGTTATATCTCAATGTGTTTATAAGTTTGCTAATTTTCAATATGTTTATGTTTTTGAATGTTGTATTGGTTCTATGTTATTTCTATAAGCTAAGCCATGGTGTGATAGATTTTCAACAGCTACAAGTCTTAGGACTTTGAACAATAGAATAGGCCTGGATAGACCACTGCGATAGAGGTGACCTGAGCAGCATAGCTTCCACATGGATTAAATGCACTAAGGTCAATTCATACAGGAGATGAAACTCAGTAAGGGTTTCTTATTTTCCTCCAAACAAACTGGATTTTCAGGCTAAGATATTTTTAATTAACATTAATGCAAGTTATGTGCTGTGAACAAAATTATAATGAGAAGCAAATGAAAAACAGACAAACCAAATGGGAACACAAGAAAAATATCAATTTCTACTTATCCCAAGCTTCATGATAAAAGATTTTTTTTAATTGGATACAATAAAAATAATTACCCAAATGCCCTTACCTTGATAGAATTGGTGCTCTGCAGCTTAATTAACATGTCAATAAGTAATTCTGTACCCAGGCTGAATGGTAACACACAGGTACAGAGAAAGCCATCCTGGGTAATAGGGAAAGTTTTGTAAGTATCCATAATCTGCTTCAGTAGTATTTGGAGCTCCCGGGAAAAGTTCCAGAACATCCTGCAGCAATTTTGCAGTAAAGTCCAATAGCCACCACGGTGAGCAAGAACCTAAGACAAACATCACATTCAGTACCACAGAGTTCCAGAAGTTACAGATGTCTGGAAATGTTGACTTTTGTCTGCTAACATTCATGTCAATGATTTTTTAAAAGTAACTAAAACCATTTGGTATGTGCGACTCCTGTTCTCACCGCTGTGACATGATATTTATATGTATGAGCTGGTCTGAGTCCATCAATCCTGAGAAGCATGCATACTCTAGCACTCTAGCAGTGAGGAAATGAAGCCTAGGCTAATGTGCCCATGGTCCTCAACTCACTTAGTGAAAAAGGAAGATTTGCATATTCATAGCCAGAATTCCCAAATCCCATGTTTACAGGTGCTGGGGAGACAGCAGTGAGCAAGGGCAAACTGGTCTACCTTCCTGCTGCTTAAGTTTGCCGAAGACCAGCAGTAGTAAGGTACACAAACAGGGGGTTTCAGGGGGGAAATATATTGCATTTTAAATAAAGCAGGAGCTGTCAAGATGACTCAGCAGTTAAGAGCACATAATGCTTTTCCAGGGGACCTGATGTGGGTTCTTAGCACCCAAATCAAGTGGCTCACAACCACCTGCAGTTTCAGGGGCAGGGAATCCTACGTCTCTGGCATTCTTGGGCACCTGCATTCATGAGTACATACACACAGATACACACACACACACACACACACACACACACACACACACACACACATCAACAATAAAAAATAATTCAAAAAAATAAATCAGAAGTAAGTCAGAACTGGCAAGGAATGAGAGGCTATGTTAGCTTAGGTTCAGGAAAGAATCCTTTCTGAGGGGGAAGAGGGTGTGCAAGGACCTAAAGGAATAGGTCATGTGACAGTGTGGAGGAGGAGAGGAACAGAAAGGATGAAGGTGAGGCTGAGAGCTGGGAAGGAAGCAGATTTAGTACGTGGGCAATGGGGGTGGGAGGAGGAATAGGAAGAAGGAGAGCTGAGCTCTACACAGTGAAGAGGACTTGGCGCCTCCAGCACCCTGCACCTAACAGAAAGAAGCATAACAATGAACACTCATGGTCAAGGGGATGACTGGGTTTTACTTGAATTTTTGTGAATGGACAAGTGACTACCCTGACCATTTCACAGAAGGAACCCAAGTGGTTTTTGTCTTGAAAGTATAGTGATCCTCTTGCCTTTTAAGATGTTTTAAGCATATGACTCTCCTGTTATGGCTTAAAAAAAAAAACTAATGAGTTTGGCTGTCTATTACTTAGTATTTTAAAAGCATCAAAGATGGTTGCAGAGATGGGTCAGGAGGTAAGCATGCTTTCTGTGTTAGTATGAGGACCTTTGTTTAAATCTCCAGCACCCACATAAAAAGCCAGGCAAGGCCACAGTGACATGCACACTGTAGCTGTAACTATAGCATTGGGATAGAGCTGGGGTGGTCAGAGGCAAGACAACCCAGTGATTGTCTTGCTGGGGGCTTGATGGCTGCCAGCATAGCTCAAGGTTCAGTGAAAGACTCTATGATAGAATAAAGTGGTGAACGATAGGATAGCACAGGGCAACAAATGTCCTCACCTGGCCTCAGTTTACACACACCTGCACCCACATGTGCACATATCTCTCTCTCGCAACAAATGTCCTCACCTGGCCTCAGTTTACACACACCTGCACCCACATGTGCACACATATCACACACACGAGAGAGAGGAGAGAGAGAGAGAGAGAGAGAGAGAGAGAGAGAGAGAGAGAGAGAGAGAGAGAAGCATTGGCATAAATGGACATAATCAGGAGGTTGAAACAAGGCAAAGTTTTCATAGCCTGCATCATAAATCTTCCCTTGGGCTAGAGGAAAGAGAGAAGGCTATGGTACCCTGGTAGTCATAGCAACACTGGAGACACATCCATCCCCCAAAGAATTTCATCTCCCACTTGTTGCAGGAAGTCAAGGCCCATGCATCATCACAGGATTTTCATGGCAACAAAGGTCACCCAGGAGGATCTGGTATAAAGATGACAGCTAAATGAGAATATGTCCTCTACCCACACAATCAGACAACACATAAATCTTTAGTATCATAGCAGGAACACCTCAAAATTGGCTGAGGGAAGACCTAGCAAATTGAAGTGTGGATGTAGTAAGTGAGTATATCTTACACACCCGAGTTCATGGGTGAGGCTCCTGTCTGGTCTGCTGCATAGGCAAAGGAAAAGGATTGCATTACCATAGCTCTCCTGCAACATGAGAAGATGTTCATAAAATGATCCAGTCCCCAGTTCAGTGCTCGATCCTTCTCTTTGGCATTAATATTAATGCCTGATTGAGATTCGGAATCATAAATTGTCTGTGTTTTTATCTTGGAAATATTATCTTCACTTTTGGAATTCCAAAATGCAGAAAGATCTTCTGTATCTGCATTCCAAAAATAAACCACAACACTATCAAAAACATCACTCCAAAATAAAAGGTATAAAGCATAAAACTACCAAAAACATGCATTCACATCCCAGCAAAGATGGTAAAGTTGTGTAATGGTAACACATGTCCATGCTGCAGAAACTTGGAGAAGGAATGGGACAATCAGAGACAACCAACCAGGAGAGGATTCCAGAGAAAAGGGCACTCATAAGCTAGAGAGCAGCAGGCATGACTAGCCCCATGGGGAGATAGAGAAGAGCACTTCCGGGCTAAGGTAAGGATGAAGGACCAATGTAGTGAAAGGAATGAACAGGAGTCAGGAAGCAGTGACAGAATCCAATGTCCTTTTGTCTTCCCAAACAGTCATTCCAAAGACTTGTGCATTCTTGAGGGAGTAGCACCCTTGCCACTCATTCTTCTCTGAAGGTGGCACCAGTCCAGAAGTGTTCCACCTGCCACATATCTCCTGTCCCATACATGCACTCTCTCAAGTCTAATGTCCTGTCTCCAATTATCATAGTGACTTTAAGCTGGAGACAAGCTACATATGACAATCAATTTACCAAAAAAAAAAAAATCCGATTTTATGTCTATGGAATTTCTCTTCAATGATGTGGATATGCATAATATAGTATAAGAATCAGAAGTATGTCAAATACCTCACTATGAACCAATACTACCAAGGCAATTTAGCTACTGAGAACCCTCATCAGCAAGAAGGTCCACAGTGCTTAAATGCCAGCATTAAAGAATTTTAAAGAGGGCTCAGAAGCCAAGAGTACTTACTAACTGCTCTTCCAGAGAACCTGGGCTCAATTCTCAACCCACATGGAGGTTTACAATCACCTGTCACTCCAGTCCTAGGGGACCTAAGCCCCTCTTTGGGCCTCCACTGGCATTAGACATACACATGATGCACATACATACATGCAGTCAAAATACACATAAAATAAACATTTTAATGCCAGTATGAAAAAATGCATACGTGGATTTCTTTAAACAGCATAAAGAAACACATTTTTATTTGTCAAATTGTGATAGTCAAGATAGAAAAACCTGCTGGTGAAAAAGAGTATTCCAAGCTCTATCATCTTTACAGGCAAGGGTTAAAAATCAACCAAATCTGACAGACAATAGTCAGTGCAGCATCCAGATAGGAAGGCCTCTGCGCCTGTATGTCTCCACCACCCAGAGATGGTGGAACCGGACCATATAACAGGACTTCTTTTTCTTCATGGAGAATATTCTTTCATTCACCTTGAAGTGGGGCTTTCACAGAAGGCGCAAACTGGAGACTGGTGCAACAGTGGCCTGTCTCAAGTTCAAAGTCAGCCGTCATAACTGGATGTGCGCCTGTCAGTATCAGTACATTGACGGAATCGATTTGAAAAGTGACTTCCACTAAGATATCACACCTGCTGGCAAGCCTTCCCCTACTTTGAACAGCTGGAGACTGCCAATACTTGGCAAAAGAGAATTTTATTTGCAGAGCACTCAAAATGATGTATGGTGGATCATTAATACTTAACTATTAAAGTTGAGTACAGTGATTACCAAGACTCACCAGCACAGCTAAACTGCTGGGCTTTTGAAAATGGCGTGTATTTCTCTCTACCAACAAGGACACACGCATGCACCTGTGTGTGTGTGTGTGTGTGTGTGTGTGTATGTGTGTGTGTGTGTGTGTGTGTGTGTGTGATAGTCTATGTTTGTATTAGTGAATAAAAATCTAGAGGCAGTTGATACAGTTACCAATGGGCACATTCCTTTACCTGTGGCTAGGTTAGGCTTCTTTCTTTTGGAAGCAATGAGGACATCCAGCATTGCTTTGTAGCTGTCTACAGTCAGCTTTGCTGTTGGTAACACAGTTCCAGAGTGGAATAGTGAGAAGAGGTTAGGGTCACATATTCGGAAACTGAAAAGGAAGCCAAAAAATTAATAAATTATATATACATATATGTAAGTAATATATAATACAATATATATAAATAAATAACATATAAATTATATATATATATATATCAGATGAAACAACAACATAAACACCTAAATAAAACTGAACTGTCTTAAATACAGCCAATTTTTATTTTTAAAACATTTGTAGTTGTGATTTTAGACCATAAATTCTCTTGGCCGGTAATCAGCTCCCAGTACCTTAACACAGACTTTTGAGATTATACAGTGTAATGCTACTGTTAGGGGCTTACTCTGTCTTACCCTAAAAGGGTCCTTGAAGATGGGAATGGAGCCTCTGCTCGCTCTGTGCTCTACAGCAATCATTTATGTTGCACTGGCAATCCAGCTCTGTGGTAGACCAGTTGCCTAGCAAGTATAAGGTCCTGGCTTTAATCCTTACTAGTACAATAAGTAAATACTACTAGAATAGTGAAATCCCATGATTTAAGTATAATTCAGTAAAGATACCTCCTGTTTAGAATATGTCCATAACCATGTTTCTTTTTTAAAAAGAAAGTCTGAGCACGAAGCAATCTTACAACTATAAATGCCAAGCACCCCCTAATAATTGTAAGAAAACCAAAGTCAGCAGCAAATTACCCCTGACCTAACTTTGACCACTGGTTGCTTTATTGTGCTGTCATCAGGCACAGTTGGTGACACATGACAAGAAAACTTGAAGAAGACTTCTCAGTGCCCAGAGGATGTCAAGGAAACCTATCTCTTCACTGCCATGGGCCACACTACTAAGCTGCCTATTGCTTTTTTGGCCCTGGACTCACTCTATAACCTAGGCTATTGCCATTGTCCAATCCCAGCCTCAGTACTAGGAATGTAGCCATCATGCCCAACTGACTAGCCACTTGAATGCAGATCTGTGAGAAGTACTTTTGCGAAGGTTAGTCTTCCAAGGGTTAAACTTCTGGAGAAACTGGAGAAGGGGCCAAATTCATTTTGGATCTTAACCTGCATGTCTTTGCCTCACTGGATCACTAAAATAAGCACCCTCTTGTTTCACACCCTTTCTCCAGTCTTTCCTCCAGCCAACCCATTTTGTGTGTTCCTGCCAAGGATGCTCTTCATCAAAAATCCTTAATAATCTCCTGCTATATAGGACAAGAAGTTCAGATTTAAGACAAACTGAAGACCCCCTCATGGCTTGGTACTCACTGACTTCCTATTTCTTACCACCTCTCTGATATGCCATGGATTTTGGTCAGACTATTTGGGATTCTCATCCCGTCTCCTACCTGGACTCTTTCTTATGCTATTCCAACTACCAAGAATGCCTGCCTCTCTGGCTGGTCATTTCTAAACCTTGACATCCATCAACATCCAGAAGTACTATCTCCATAGAAGGTCAAGCCAGAAGAAAGCCGCCAAGTTATAATAAAGAATTTAAATGTGCTTCACCATCTACCAACAAATAGAGTTATGCATGAGTGCTTATGATATATTACCAGGCTCCAACATGTATATCTTGTCCATCTTTGTATACTCATGGCATCTAGCTCACTGCCCTATATGTAAGAGTTCTTTGGCAAGTATCTTTTTGGATGGAAGACTTTATATCACCTTTATATCAGATACCTAGCATTCCTTAGTATAGTCCTCTTCTTATCTACCTAAGCACTTAACCAAAGGTACAGAATAAAATCTCAAATTGCCTGTTGAATTCATGGCACAATATCATACTAGAAAATCTGACTTCTGCTCAGTGGTGGTGGTGCACACCTTTAATGCCAGCACTCAGGAGACAGAGCCAGGTGGATTTCTTTGAGTTCCAGACCAGCCTGGTCTACAGAGCGAGATCCAAGACAGGCACCAAAACTACACAGAGAAACCCTGTCTCGAGAAATCAAAAGAAAATCTGATTTCTGTTTTTAAAGTCTTCAAATATACCTCTGATTGAAAGTGATAGTGACATGATGTCGGCTAATATCAACAGTTATTAGAGAGTTACCATAGCATTAAAAGCTATACTTGATGAACTTATCCATAAGGTTTGCAAATTAGCATCACATGAGACATTATTGAGTATTTATTTGGGAAAGAAACCAACATAACAAAATGGAAAACACAGGGATGTCCAGTGTAATGGAGTCATTCTGGAAACCGGGCTCAAGCATTCCAATGGGCAGTCCATATTCACAAGATGAATGAAGTCCAGCTTACCAGTATCGCTCCATACCTGACATTGGAACGCGAAGAAGTGAATCTCATCTTCGTGCGCTCGGACAGCTTTTGGAAGAACAGGTGGAAGTGTGCACTCGCCAGATACAAGTTCATCTGAGATCTCCAAGGGAGCTCTTCAAGAAGTATTTGATGAAACCTCTTTCTTTTAACATAATTTAATATTATGGGATTCAAGTTATCTGTCAGGCTTCGGTATGCCATTTTTCTGACATCACTTCTCTTATTTCTGCCAAGGGAAAAAGATATTTTGAAGTTATACAAAAAAATTAAATAAATAATAAACTACTAAAAATTATTTCAGCTGGGCACACACCTTTAATCCCAGCACTTGGGCGGCAGAGGCAGGTGGATCTCCAAGTTCAAGGCCAGCCTGGTCTACAGAGCGAGTTACAGGATAGCCAGGGCTACAGAGAGAAACCCTGTCTCAAAAAACCAAAAAGAAGAAGAGGAGGAAGAGGAGGAGGAAAAAAAGGAGAAGGAAGAGGAGAAGAGGAAGAAGAAGGAGGAGGAGGAAGAAGATTCCAATTTGTATAGAATATATCGTGGAGTCAGTTGACTACACTTATGCAAATTTTCAGCTCATTTATCACTTCCTCGGTTCTCCAAATGTGAAACTGTGGACGACAGGCTGCAAGGGGAAGCACAGGGGACAGACAGACAGAGACACTACTTAATTGTCTTCAAGAGTCTCCTACGTCTCAGTTCTAACAAGAACTTTGCTTTTCCATAACTAAAGGGCCACTGGGATTACACAAGCCATGCAATGTTCATATCGATCAGCTTTTTCAATATTAAACAACAACTTCATTTCTCTATATTGGTCCTTAAGGGAAAAAAACAATAAAGCAAAATTTCGCCTAACATTAGTTAGACTCTACAGGAAATAAAATTTCAATCAAATGTAGATGAAAAAAACTTCAAAAATGAACACATTCAATACACTATGAGGGGAAAATATTCACCTTTTATTTAATATAAACATAGTTCATATTTGAGTCTGATTGATTTTGCTTTCAGAGAGTGGATCTCATTATGTAGCCCAGGCTAGCTTTTACCTCCCCATCCTCCTGTCTCAGCCTTCAGTGCATTATGATAGTTCAACATTTTTTATTTATTTTTATTTTATGTGCATTGATGTTTTGCCATGGGTATTTGGTCCCTGGAACTAGAGTAACAGACAGCTGTGAGCTGCCTTGTGGGTGCTGGGAATTGAACCCAGGTCCTCTGGAAGAGCAGTCAGTGCTCTTAACTGCTGAGCCATCTCTCCAGGCGAATAGTTCAAATTTTTTAAAGATAATGTACATTTAATCTTTTAAAAGATCATTCCTATAGATCACCTGGTAAAGTGTTTGCTTAGATAGACAGAGATAGGTAGGTAGGTAGGTAGGTAGGTAGGTAGGTAGGTAGGTAGGTAGATAGATAGATAGATAGATAGATAGATAGATAGATAGATAGATAGATAGATAAAGATACTTTGTTCATCAAGGCCTCCAGGTTATCCTGTGTTATGCTGCCGTGCTGAGAATGGAGAACCTGTGTTCTCTAAGGTATGTTTTGAAACTGAATCAGCACACACAAATAATAGGGGGAGGGGAACAGACAGAGGGAAGAAGATGGATATTAGAATTGGCAGACATCTACAGAATAAAGGAGGAAGAAGTGCATTTTTAAATTAGAATAACGGGTTTCCTTACTGTGTTTTTACACATACTTGGTGTTGGTTGTCATCTCCTGCCTGTTCCTCTCTCCATGCCCCCTGTCCCCCATCCCACTGTACCCTTCCACCCCCAGTATTTCCCCTTCCTTCTTTTATACAATGTGAGCCCAATTCCTCTCCCCTCCCCTTTCCTATAAACCCCCTTTCTCCTCTCTTGGACCCCTTTTTAGATTCATGACCCCTACCTATACTTCCCTACGATACACACACTTTACACTATTGTTCAGTTCTGAATACATTAAGTTTAGTTAACAAAAATAGTTTAACTCAAGGCTTCTGGGCTTTTCATTGTTGTAACAGGTTAAATTTTCTGCCAACTGTGAACCTTTTAAGTGATTAGATGAAATTAATGTTAACTTTTTACAATGAAAATTGAAAGTGTTGTTACCAAAACAAAACTAATCTTGCCCTTGTATAGGGAGGCCAGTTTTCCACAAGAGGCTAAGAAGAGCCCACAGGGCCCCTACTAGAAAAAAGAAAAGAGTCCAGGAAGTGAGCAGGAGGACAGGCCTCATCCCGTAGTACAGACAGGTGACTGTACTGTCTGTATACAGCTGCACAAAATAGAGAATGCTCCATCACCTGAGTGGATATTAATATCTAATTGTACCCTAACAACGAGACCTGTCACGATGGTGGCAACGACCACATATGTCCTATGGATTGCACAGAACTAAACATATATACCAAGAGACACACACATGAATTCACATAAAGGTGCTAGACTCTGAATAAAGTCATCAGATTGCATTATTAACAATGTCTTGGTTTGTGATATTGTAAAGAGTCGCAGAGTCACTTGGAAACTAGGTAAGGGGTTTATGGGGTATATCTCTCATAAATGCATATAAATCTTCAATTATCTGAAAAGAAAAATATTTTAAGATACATGTTACAGATATGTCCATATCACAGGATTTGGGGGATTACACTGGAGGTCTTAGCCTGTAAGCAATGGGAAAAAGAAATGAGAGGCTTGAACCCTAGAAAAAAAATAACCCAGATCTTCATCCCCTGTACATGCTCTGACCATCCACACAGACACACTTGAGCCCAGGAGTAAATTATCAAGTCATGTACACAGTCTACATACCAGGATTCTAATTTATCTCTGTTCAAAGAATAGAAGAATTCAGAAATATAATTTTAAAATCCATACAAAAACAGTGCTTTATATAACTAACAAAAGGTGAGCAACACATCTAGGGAGAAACCACACAATGTGTTTAAAAAAAAAAAAAAGAAAAAAAGAAAGAAAGAAAAAAAAAAAGAAAAAAAGAAAGAAAGAAAAACTTTACAAGATCTTAAGGTGCATCCTGTCCTCTCAAAAATAGATGCAGTGTTGCAAAGGAACAAAACAAAACTTCCCAAATTCCCTTTGCAAATTCACAATAGAATTCTTCCTGTTACTCAGCAGGCTAGTGTGAACTATTTCCTGGATGACGTAAGACCTGGGTGAAGGGAAATAGCACGCTTTCCATCAGACAGTCACTTTTCCTGTAAAGCCAAAGTCATTGCAATAGGAGGTTATTGATTCAGAAAACAGATAAATAGACTCATGGGAGTGAGAAGAGACCCCAGAACTAAATCCACGAAGAGTGACTAAATAACAAAGGTGGCAGTGACAGCAGTCTACTGACCCAGTCAATGGTACCATCTAAAATAGACCGTCATCTAGGGGGAGAGATGGCTCATCACTCGAGAGCACTGGCTGCTCTTCCGGACGACCTGGATTCAGTTCCCAGTGCCTCCCCCCTGGCACACACAGCTGTCTGGAACTCCCAGTTTTGGTATACCCTCTGCCAACCTTCAGGGGCACTGCACACACATGGTGTACATTCATATACGAGGGTAAAATACTCATACACATAAAATAAAAATAAATATTTTTTTTAAAATTCTGTCCTCTGAATATAAAAAGCAATTCATAACTTGGTCTCAACTATTGGGTGACCCCAATGGCTCTATAGCCAACACTCTGCTGCATAGCCTATTCAGAGCACTCTGTAATTTGTGTTGGCTACTGCATTTCTATCATTAGTGTGTAATCACCTTGAGAACAGGGATGTTCTCGCACGTGTATTGTTTGGCAGTTTCATAATTCACATAATGAAAATTGTCATTCTGTTTTCCATTTACCTCTCTCATCTCTCTCTCTTTCCCACTGGAGTCCTTTTCTTTAACCGCTCCCCCACATCCACACCCACACCCACACTTTCATGTCTTCAGTGTGACCCATTGAGTTTGATTATCTTGTAGTACCGGGTTTTCCAGTATATCCCTAATACCCAAATTAGTGCCCAGCAGGGAGTAAACCTCAAGGAAGTCAGTGCTGACAATTCATTCATACCTATCCTGCTCCGACAGATCATGAATGGATGGGTTCTTGGAGAAAAATTCTTTTAAAGTTTCCTTTTTCTTTTTTCTTCTTCTTGATACATCCCCACTCTTCATGGGAGAGAGAACAAATGTTACAAGTTCAAATTGGCACATAAAGCTATTACCTCCTCATAATGCAATGCTCACCTTCTAACCATGAAACACACTGGCTTTCCTACATCCTTTAATTAAAATTACTATCAAGGGGCTGGAGAGAATGTTCAGCAGTGAAGATCACTTGCTGCTCTTTCAGAGGACCTGGGTTCAGTTCCCAGTACCCACATGTTGGCTCACAACCATCTGTAAGTCCAGTTCAGTGGATCTTGGGCCCTCATCTGGCCTCTATGGGCACCGTGTGCACACATGGAACACAGATGTATATGCAGGTAAAATACCCATATGCCTAAAAATAAATAACTACAAAAACTAAAAATGGGCCCTTTAGACAAAAATAGTTGATTTATAATTTATTATAAAATTATGCCTATTGGTATTTTTTGTTTCACATTCCAACAAATTAAAATATAATCAACCATCTCTAGATATATAATATCTTCATCAACTTAGTTAAAGTTCAAAACACATTTTAAAAAAAAAAACTTACTTTTCCAATCTCGATAACTATAGCTTTATACTTCTTGGGAGCTTTGGGTGCCTTCTTACACAAGACACTGTCCTTACATTTTAACCTTTTTACTCCAATGAGGGACTCGTTTCTCCTAATCCACACACAAAAAGGAAAACATCAGTCAAAAATACGCAAAGAATATGGGCAACAACTTCAGAGTAATAAACCTCTAAAGAACACTGTCATTGAAACTGTGTAAAAAGAAGGGCGCCCAGACTGCCTGCTCCACGTGTCACTTAGGTGAGGATCCCTGGACAGGAAGGGCATCTGACCTCTTCATAGTACAATGTCATTCACACTGAAAACTTGTGAAAAGGGCACATGTCCACAGAGAAAGAGGAGAGAGCTCAAAGTATGGCATAAGTTGGATGGAACTGGACTGAAAATGATCTATAGTTACTTTCCTTCATTCTTAAGACAAAAGCCACATCACAGTGGCCCTAGACAAACTGTCTTGCCTCTGACCGATTCAGTCTTTTTATCTCCACCCTGAATAAACTCCCAGCCATGGCTGCTCCTTGCTAAACTTTCTCCCAGTTCCTCTTGGGGAACACTCAGCTCTATTTTCCCATCATGGCTTCTAGCAGATTTGTTCTCCAGGCATAGTTCTCTCAGTATCTTGAGATTGACATTTATCCACTAATATTTCCTGAAATGCATACATTTTCTGGAATTTCTATTTCTTGCTACAGAAAGCAAAATTCTGTCTTAACATGATGAATGGGCACCAGAAAGCTGAATGAAATGCAGCTACAATTAATACAATAAGTTAATACAATGGCTAGGTGAGCCTAGATAACTAGTTTGTGGGTTGGAGCACAATGTATGATCAAAATGTATTTTGTTTGTAATAGTGGTTGGCATCATACTACAGTTTTGTGTACTACAATTTCTCTCTCTCTCTCTCTCTCTCTCTCTCTCTCTCTCTCTCTCTCTCTCTCTCTTTCTGTGTGTGTGTGTGTGTGTGTGTGTGTGTGTGTGTGTGTGTGTGTGTGTTGTATGTACACATGTGTTTGAATGAGCAACTATGCAGAAATAGGGTAGCCAGAGGGTAAGATGAGATATTCTGGTCTGATCTTTCATACTCCCTTGTGACGGAGTTCTCGCTGAACCTGAGGGTAGCTATTTTATCTGTGTTGGTTGTCAGAAAGTCCCAGCAATGGTGGTTCCACCACCATCATACTAGACTTGTATGTGTGCTTGGTCATACATGGTATTTACATGGATGCTAGAGATGAGGTTCAGGCTCTCATGCTTATCGATCAAGTGTTCTTACCCACTGAGCAATCCTCCGATCCCTCACCTTAGTTTTTATTAAGACGATCACGGATCCTCTGATTGGATAGGACTCGCACACAGCTGCAACAGTTCTGAGATTACCCCAGTTATGTGGACAGATAGTTCAACTAGTTAAGCTATAGTGGGTTGGACCAGTGACTGCTGGGAACATGGGGTCTCCTTCACTTCCAAGCTGCACCCTGAAGCTGGTTGCCTAACACTTTCAATATCAGATAAGTCTCTCTGCTGTGTTGTCCTTCTCTCTCAGCCCCAGGTGAGCGATGTAACGGCAGCCATGTTATTGCAGAGAGAGATGGAAGGCCAAAGATGCGTGCTCTCAGCCGGCCGTCATTTCTTCTGTGCGTAGCACGACCTTCATCCATCAAGCGCATGGCGCTCCTCCACTTCCGCAACTCCTCACAGCTCCGCATAGCTCTGAGGGCTTTCGACATTATTTATGGTGTGTTTTGGTAAATCACATTTGCAAATTTCTGTGCACTAAACATTAATATTTACTCTGGGACGTCCACATTCTTTTGTTGACTTTTATTAGTATCTGTCTCTAACCCTCTGGCTCTCTGCCTATTATTTCACAAGCACGACTCTGTTATTCTTTACTGGACATTCTAATCCCCTTTTATTGTTCTATCTTTTCAAATATCATCCATTATTCTAGCCTACTCTACAATTCATTTGAAGGAATCTGTATTGAAATTATAATAGACCAACAAAGTAATTTTAAGATAACAGAAACCTTTACAAAATTATATCTGACTAGAAAGTGATATACTGACTTTTCATTTTACATATAACATATGTAAAATACATATGTGTGTCCTATATAAAATTATGTTTGATCCTCTTCATATTAGTCAACACTCCCACATAATCTCTGGCAAATTTAGTTATGTACTCCGTAAAAATGGGATTTTACATTATACTTTCAAGTTCATACAGGAAAACCACTGATTTTGCATTTAACCTACGAAAGTCAACAGGGTTTTTTGTTTTTTGGGTTTTTTTTGTAATTATCTCTAGATTAAGTTAAAAGAAACAATTATTTGCAAGTGTCTCCATTTTCAGAATATTTCACTGTGGCATCCATTTAACAAACATTTTTAATTTTCCATGCTGTGTTAATCATAAAAACTCTAACTCCAATTTCTTAGTATAATATAATGGCAAGAACTTTCAGAGCAAGGCTAATTGTCAGAAGGTAAAATAAGTTTCCTTGTTTAGGGCTTAATTTAATAGAAAATCGTCTGATTTTCGTTTTACAGGAAGAATCATTGAATTTACCAGATAAATTTTAGAAAACGCCTACTGGCTCCTTTGAGTACCAATGATAATTATATTTTCATATCTCTTATTCCATCTGCATTGAGAATAAAATATTTTATGGCTGAACTTATGTGCTAGTATTTATCTTGGATTTCTGCCTCTATGTATTGCTCGGTATACTTGATTCGTACTTTTTTCTACTTGCTTTCTCTCTGCCCTGGGTTTACTGGAAAGCTTTATCACTATGTGGTGAATAGCTGTATGCCAAAGAAAAAGCATTCATTCATTTCTTTAAAATAAGGAAGAATTGTCCTGAACAAATTTCAGGATCCAAATGTTTCTGCTGCTTTCCTCAGTTGTTATAAATTTTTCCAGGTAATCATCACTTTCAACTAGATTTTTCAGTGTATTTTCTCTTCCTATGACCTGTGTTTCTCCTTTTATTATTATGCTACATGGAATTTTTATTTTATTCATATTCCTAAAGAATGATCCTTTGTGACAACTGAACTGACTTAAAACCAACTTATAATTGATTCATTTCTGCTTTTAGTTTTGTTTTCTTACGTCTTCAATTCACGTTTTTTATTCCTTGACTTTAACAAAAAAACTCCTTTAATCTCATTTTTCCTTCTCTGTAAGAGAAGATTCTAAGGTTAAGGACCCGTCCTCTGCTGCTCTGGCTACCTCCGATATGTTAGGTTTTTTTGTTATCATTAACCTCCTCAAAGCTTTCAGACATCTTTATTCTCTACAGGTTGGGAAGATAAATTTATCCTATTGATTATGTACATATGTATCTTTCCTCTGTAGGTCTGTCCCTATCCACCCCAACTTGGTGAAGACATCCAAAAACATGTCCTTGACCTCAGAGTTTACAGGACACCACTGCTAAAGTCTGCTGCACTTCTCAGTCTCCAGGCTCAGGTATCTATGATGCTGCCAGGATAGCGCTCATGGCTTACTTCACCTCTTCACCTTTTAGAAGGGCTATTGTATTATTATTATTATTATTATTATTATTATTATTATTATTATTTATTACTGACTTTTGTGGTCCTTGCAGCTTGCCAAAACACTGCAGACAACTTCTGCTTTTCACAAGTCTTGATGGTTTTTTATTTGAATACAACTTTATCGTTCTGACCGTTTTCTGATTACCATAGCTTATTATACTGAACAGACATGGTCTCCTCCATCTTTTGAGAATATTATACCAACATATTCCAAGCTTTGGCTTTTGTAAATGAGGTACCTATTTTAGAAAGAACATTTCTGTGTTGATTCTCTTCTCTTTGGGTGCCATTTTTTAAATAAACTTCATGTTACTTGCTGTTATTTTTACTCAAATGGGACAAATAGGTTTATACTCCACGATGACAGACAAGCACACTTGTCAGTGGTCTGAAGACAAGTTCGATGTATCTGGCCTCACTTATAACTGGCATGGGATGTTATAATTGTCTTTCAGAGTAAAGACAATCATTCCAGCTTAGGAAACAGAGGAGCAACTTCAAGGCTTATTACCCCTAAGAACTTCACAATGAAACCCCCAAGGAATAGCTATGCTCATTACGACAGAACCAGTCATTCATGATGCATGTGCAAAGCTGGACTCTAAACCTCCCACGAGAAAGAGCTGACAGCCTACGGAGATGCTATCACTCATACTGACCAATGGAAATAGACTGCTCTGTCTGCCGTTGGTGATGGGCACATGCTCTAGTCAGGGTCCTTAGTTCAGTTGCATTGATATTTTTACAGTTAGTCCGTTAGTTACCCACTCAGGCACAGACCTTCTCCATCTATCAGCTCGGTTGCATTTATCCCACACTTTTTTCCATCGACCTTTGTAAAAGTTATTGACATTTTCAGAACTAGCATTGCAAGTACCTTTTCAAGAACTCATAAACAGGAGCTGTGAGCTCCACCGTGAGTTGAAACTTTTCATCATTCATACATTTGAGCATAACTTGTGTAAAGAATTCCAGGAATCTCGGTCTTTGCTTGAATTTCATGACTATAGAAACAAGAAGTTCATTGGAGAGTTACCAGTATGCCCTGGTAATGGGTGCCAAAATGTTCCTAGTACTAGCCATCTTTAGTCACAACAGGCACATTGATTAATCTGCTTTTGGATTTCCCACATATTTATTTTACTTCATTTTTAATTAAAATATAATTACACCATTCCTCCCCTCTCTCTCTACCCTCTCCCGTCCCCCACTCATTCCCCATCCAAATCATGACCTCCTTTTTAAAATCATTATTCACAGACAGACAGACACACACACACACACACCATTAATTTTATATAAGTACAACCTTGTGAGTCAGTATAGTGTTGATGTATGTATATGATTTTAAGACTATTTGGTATTGAAAAGCCAATTATACCCACAGATAAATGTAGCTCTGACCACTTATCAAAGAAGCCTCCTTTGGCCACAGACAGAGATCACTAGAGAAAGCCATAACTGGTCAAAATGCAGCGAACAACTAGCCATAGGGTGCCCAACCCAAACTGATACCTCTCTGTCCCGACCCCTGTGTTAAAGGTTCAGGGAACACTGTGGACAGAGGGCAGAAAGCGTGTGAGAGCCGAAGGACCAGGAAGTCTGCTGTGAGATTGTGCCTTCCAGCCATGACAGGGAAGTCCCGCCTGTCGTGAAGTCTCAACACTGTCTCAGTCTGAATGGTGACACCACCAATCAACGTCCAAGAAGGCTGAGGGCAATCTTATGGGGCCCCATCCCTAGATGAAGAGCGACAGGCAGTAGTGACTGCTAAAGAGGAGGGTTACTCTTCTCCAGGGTTATGGGTTAGATGGGGTGAGCCCCTTGGTGGGTTAGATTTTTTTCACTTATAGATACTAAGAGTGTTTGTTGGATGTACTGCTGCTTTATTTCAATGGCCACTGATACTTTACACTGGATATTTGGTTTATCCTACAAAAACCTCAATATTCAGAACAATTTAGCTGAAGCTGCTTGTGGTATATGGCCGTCAGGAGAAAGGGCTCGTCACATCTCACGCTGATCTGTACCCCCTGTCACTCAGAGCAAAACAAAACGCCGCAGCTCTCCATAGGTGAATTTCAAAATGATGACTGCATTTTCCAGTGCCTCCTCTTTGTCTCCTTCATGATGGCACAGTTCGCTTCGAAGTTGCTTGGGAAGGCTCTTCCTTCCCAGACTTCCAGTCACCTCATTAGGTTTCTCAATGACTTAGTAGTCAGGAGTCTGCATATTCTCAATGGGTGAGAACACCGAGCATACAACACACACACAACAGAAGCAACCTAAGGCAGAAGCCGGCGTCCAGCACTCACCTTCCTTCATGGCGCCTTTCACCGACCAGTTTAGAACCACAGGGTACAGAAAGATCGGGTCCTCTGCTCCAGAGAGTTCAGTTGAGGTGACTAAGGTAGAAACATCAGTAAATTCTAATGTCTCTTTGGATCTCAATATCCAAAACATACAGATCTTTTTAAAATAGGGGAAATAGTCAACTAATTACTAAAGCGTAGAACTTAAAATATCAAATATATCATATTTGGGGTGGGTTAAAAAAGATCAAGTATTTGCTTTCCTTTTCCTTAAAATTTAAGGGACCCACCATCAGATCTAGCAGTCATATTAACCCCATCTGAAGGGACAGGTATCAACACAGGACCCCCCAGGACCAAGTTCTCAGCACAAAGGAGATGTATTTGCCCCACGGGGACAGAGGGCAGGGATAAATGAGGCACAAAGACAAGAGATAGAGGAAGAGGGAGACGGGGACAAGGGATATTTGTCCCTGGGGGACAAAGGACTGTCTCTGGACGTGGCCCACAGAGAAATGGTGTCTTATAAACGTAAAAGGGGAAACCCTGTAAGATGAAGTATTTCATTTTGATCGGGTGTATTATTAGGGCAGCCAAAGGGGACTTAGTACTCTGACAGCTGGACCTTGGTAGTCAGCTCAGGAATGAGTCTGGCGTAAGTGTCCAGAGAAGGGAATGGACCTTGGTGGCTGGCTTTAGGAATCTAATGGTTTTAAGCAAGGCAGAGGGATGGGGGAAGGGCAAGGCCTGCCAGAGCCATGCTTGCCAGGCTGGGGCTGGCTGGAGTCCCTTCACCATCCTTAATGAAGTCACTCTATAAACCATAGCGTGCAGCACGGCCAGCAGAGCCAGACCGTGTCAAGTTCCATCTTTCTTGGTTAAGACAAGGACTCATTTTGTAGCCCAGGCTGGCCTGAAATCTGTGGTCCTCCTGCCTCAGCCTCCTGAGGACTGTGACTATGGGTGTGCACCACCTGCCCAGCTCTCCTTTAAACTCCAACCTTGGCACTTTTGAACTGTGAAATTTGGTGGGGGTGGTGGGTACTTAGGATCTCTGCCTCAGTTTTCTTGCCTTTAAAATGAAATAAGAGCAATTTCCTTATGAGGGTATTATATAGAATTTGTATGATTTTTTATAATGTATTTATAATAGTATCTCACACATAGGAGACACTTCACAGAGTCATTTTTATTGTTACTGAATTTACTGTGTAGCTAGTAATACATTTTATTTCTTAATGAAAGTTCTGTTGATATGAGAATAAATAATTCACATTTCTAGAACATTTTAAACTTTAAGAAATCATACTTTTATGTTGGTGATTAAATAATTACAGTTTCCATAAACTAGGTTTACTAATTATGAGAACGACATAACATCAGGCTCAATTCACAACTTCAGCCTAAAACAGGCAAGAAATATGGTGGAAAAGAGAGAAAGCCCTGTTTTTGCCTTTAGAGCAGCAGCTCCTGATTTGAGGCCCCACCCCCACCCCACCCCCCACACACACTGCCACCAATGTCTGCTTCCCAATCAGTTACCACAGTATAATGGATGGTGTGTTCTGTTCCTATGGTCAGTGCCCAGGGAGGCTGTCCCACACCCTTTAGTGCCTAGGACAGAGACACCCCTACTGTGCTCGACGGTCTTATGTCAACTTGACACAAGCTAGAGTTATCTAGAAGGAGGGAATCTCAGTTAAGAAAAACCGCCTCCCTAAGATCCAGCTCTAAGGCATTTCCTTAATTAATGATTGATGGGGGAGATCCAGCCCACTGTGGGTGATGCCATCCCTGGGTTGGTGATCCTAGCTTCTATGAGAAAGCAGGATGACCCAGTACACAGCACCCTTCCATGGCCTCTGCATCAACTCCTGCCTCCTAGTTCCTGTCCTATTTGAGTTCCTGCCCTGACTTTCTTTGATGGTGAACATCAATATGGGAGTGTAAGCCAAATAAACACTTACCTTCCCAAAATTGATCATGAACTTTCATCACAGCAATAATAACCCAAACTAGGACATCTATAAGAACAATCTGGACCAAATAACAGTAGCACCAAGGTTATAAAAACCTGCTCTAAAGCTGGAAGACGCAGACCCATATCCAAGCCAGCCAGGCAAGCCTAAGCAAATCCCTTATCTTTATGAGGCACACCTGTAAAGAGCAGTGAGCAATCTCTTATTAACCAAGTGTTGTTAGGATTAATGGCATAATGTAGACACACTGTATAATCCTTAACGGGTTTACCAAATACTAATCTCATCTTAATTCTTTCAAGAAAACAGTTTCTCATTTTAAGAAACAATGCTAAACAGATATAAGAGGGAAAATTACATTGCTTTGTCAGTTTGAGTAGATGTGTCTCCAGCAAGGCCAGCTGTTCGTTTATCTTTTCAGGCAACAGCACCTGCTGGGGCTTCTTGGTTCTTGAAGTTTTCTTAGAACAAGTACCCTAGAAACATTGGTAAATGTCAAAATGTATTTTAACATGGTAGGGAAATTGTCATTTTCGAAAAATCTGCGTTATGTTCTGTTTCTCCCTTTCCTGTTCTATGATCTGCGCAGCTAGCCAACAAGAATTAGTGATTTTACAGTAACTGATAGTGCATTCTAGCTAGAAGTGCTAAGAGTTTCATGGACAGAGCCAAAATGCTCCCCTTTCCTGTCCCCCTTCTCCAGGACCTCCCGCTGGCCCCTTCCAGAACATGTACTCTTCTTTTATCAGTGGTGGTGGCGGTGGCGACGGCAGCACGATGTATGTGTGCGTGCGTGCGTGCGTGCGTGCGTGCGTGCGTGCGTGCATGCATGCGTGCGTGCATGTTGAAACAGTGTCTTTGAGGTAGCCCAGGCCGACCTCAAACCACCAAGTAGCCAAGGACAACTTTGAACTCCTGATCCTCCTTCCTCCAGCTCTCCAGCGCTGGGACTACCACAGGCTCCACCACAGCCAGTTTGTGAAAGTGCTAGGGATCAAACTCAGGGCTGCCAGCATGCCAGGCCAGCACGCCACCTACTGTGCCACATCTCTAGTCTCTGCCTTCTTCCTAATGTAGCTGTCACCTCCAAAAAAAATCCTCAAAATAAAATCCCCAGCCAGCCGCCAGGAGGGGATCCTTTTAGTCTGTTAGGTTCTGATTTCCCCAGAAGGAGCACCTTTACAACCCAGCTAATTACTTCCACCCCTCTGCCTTTCACTAAAACCTAACAGGCTCAGTAATTAGCAGATTAAGGACTGGCCTGTGTGTACCCCCACACACACACCGTGTTTTCTCTAGGACTGAGAAATCGACCTGCACTGTCTTGTCTCCTGTTATCACAAACAAAACCTTCTGAGCCTCTTTCTTCTTAGACGGGTCTCTAGCGGTTCTAGGGATTTCTGCCTCTGACCAATGAGCAGATCCTACAACCTTAGTCAGTGGGAAGCGTCACAACCTCCTGCTGGACCAGCGGCTCCAGGGAGAGAGGTGTGAGACTCACTGGCAGTACTGCAAGGGCACAGAGCCTTGAGTCACGGTCTGGACGACACAAGGGGGCGGAGTAAGCAACTGGTTTGAAAACAACAAGTTCAAACTGCCTCCACTTTAATCAAAATCTCCCCTAGGCAAAACAAGCCCCACATCCTACTCCCCAAAAAGATGTTACAGCTTAAAAATCCTCCAGCCAGGATGATTCGGAGACCTTACCAGCCAACAAATTGCCTTGCTTTCTATCTCAGGAAGATGTGGAGTCAATCGAACTCAATGTGAGAGGCAGGAGACCAAAGGTCCTTCCTGGCGTGCCTCAGAAACCCAGTAAGCCAAGAAGCATCTCAAAACCTGACCCACAAACACATTTGGCCCACATCATTTCAACACAAAGCAATAAAGTCTTAAGTCCCTCTAAGACTCCTGCTTATGAAGCACATATTGAAGATTAGTCTCAAAATTAGCAGCCTCATAAAGACAGGACCAGGTATCGTGGATGTTCATAAATCTACTTTGAACATGAGATTGGAAAATTCAGCTAGGTTTTTTTACCTTCGGTGATGCACTCAGAACTGTTACACCTGAAGTTATTTAACCTGTAAGCCCCACCTGCCCAAGGACCAGGTAACATTCTGGGATTCTGGGAGTTGTAGTTCCTGGAAAATAACAACAAATCTTCACGGGAAACTATGATGACCTATGGGTTTTGTTCTTATAAACTCCACCAAGGCGTGTCTCTGGGCCATTCAGCTAGAAAAGTGTCCATCTTGGTCAGTATTTAACATTTTAATAAAAGCTCAGCTTAATTTAGTCAAAATGGTGGAACTGGTTTTTCTGGCAAATTTCAGGACTAACCAGAACAAAGCATCTTTAAACTCAAAAAAAGGCGTTTTTAAGAAGCATTTAGTCCAGTGTCCCACTGAATATAGAAAGGTCTAGCCTCATCTACCTTGTAGTCAGTACTCAGAATGTGGATAACTATCCAATATGCTAGCCTTGACTCTATCTTAAAAATATTTTTTAAATTAAAGAAATTCTTAATGAAATTACTTTCTGTAATGTAAAGATGACAAATTGATCAATGTCTAATGTGTTTAATGACAGTAAATGAAACAGGTAAATATATAACGAGGAGAAACAAACAAACAAAAAAATAAAACAAATTACCTCCTCTCCACTCTCATCTTGGTCCATACCAAATAGAGATTTGCACCCCGATGTGATGTCCAACGTCTTTTTCCCATAATTTATAATCATTACCGCCAGGTCATATTCCTTCCAGGAACGTAGAATCTAATTAAAAGTAAGTATTAATTATCTCTGTTGGATGCCTCTCTTTCCAAGTTCAATGCATAAAATCTTTCATAAATTCAAATTCCCCTAAGTCTTGTGGGTCTAACAACACCTCACAATTGTTAAGGAAACTGGAAACTTACCTCTGGGTCATATTTCTCTAGAATTAAAATTATATAACTCTACTATTCTTTAAGTAAAGGACTAATAATGGCTTATCAATAATGCATTTCCTATCCCTCTGGGCCGTTTAGCTTTATGCTCTGTGATACAGCACCCTACTATTAAGAACTACTACTCTACTTTTAAAAGCCTAGTTAAAACAATTGTTCCTTAATGTCATATACATAGCACCTTTCATTTTGAGTGTTTTGTTGCTCATTTGTGTTTTGTTTTGTTTTACTTGTTTGGATTTTGAGACAGGGTTTCATGTAGCCCAGGCTGTCATCGAACTCACTATGTAGCTGAGGATGGTCTAGAACTGCAGATGCTCCTGTCTCCAACTACCAAGTGCTGGGATTATAGATTACCAGCATGCACTACCGTACCTGTCTGCTCTCAAGTTGCTTTCTATAGGAAATGGCGCAGTTCCTGACCACATGATGTCTTGAGTGTGGAGCACCTAGTGATTGGCGAGATATTTTAGTAGATGGTTGGGCAGATCCTCTGAAAACCCTGAGAAGTAGCCTACTGCCAGTGGTAACTCTGCCCCTTCCAGCCTGGCCTTTGTCCCCTTTTCAAAGGTAATCTTCCATTGTCATGTTGAGCCGAACGTAATCCCAACACCACAATGGTTCAGAACGGGAACCTCATGTCTCTCGTTGACTGAGTCATGTTCTAATATACCTGCCATCCCTTATTTGTACAGCGCTGCCCACCGTATCATTAAAATCCTGGTTCTAGCATCAACTCTAAGGAGAATCCATAGCCGGGTATCTGATTTGCATACTTCCCATTGTAGTGATCTGATTTGCATACTTCCCATTGTAGTTATCTGATTTGCATATTTCCACTGCCAAGACTCAGTGAAAGGAAGGGAACACATTCATGGTAAGCCCTATGGGGACAACTGAAAATATAAATACGTTTGTATGAATGTGCTATATGTAGACATATTTTGTTAAGATGGTCCTTTTTTCAGATACGTGATCACTACTACTTCAAATACAGAGAAGGGCTAACAGGAAGGGACTTAGAAATAATGAATGGTTACCTAGAACTACTAAGATCCACCCAATACTAAGGAATAGAAATGTTTCTGTGGAGCCAGGAGAACACACTCCCAAAAAGCAGTGCATTGTGAGGAACATCATGTAGCAAAGAGATGATGACAGAGGTGCAGGGCGCTGAATGTCTGACACAACAGTCTAATTTCATGACAAAATGCATATGAGAGGCTTGGTCACAAGCCACCTTTTCTGGATAAGTGTAGCCACCACCCCTAATCAAAGAAGCCTTCTCTTTACAGTAAATGGAGACTGTCACAGAAATCACAGCTGGGCACAAGGCAGAGATCTGCAGATCGTGAGGAATCCAGCCCCAATGGGAAACATCTATACCATTGAGGAAGAGGAGGCAGAAAGGTTGTAAGAGCCAGAAAACCAGGATGTCTACTGCGAAACAGTCTCTCCTAGAAATGGCTGACTAAGCAAGGACAGAACAACGGCTGTATGGGCAGACATACTAGTGCAGAAGGGGCATCTCACGGGACCCCACCCCCAGAAGAAGAACCACAAGCAACTAATGGTTGCTGAGGGAGAGTTATCCCCCTTCTTGGTTGTCCAATACAAAGTGGTCAGCTCCAAAACTATATAAATACAAATAACAAACACAAGCTTTGCAGGCTGCAAGTTTATATGTTTGTGCATACACATATGTGCACATATGTATGACATTAATAAAGAAAAAGAGGCTATCAATTTGCGAATTGGAGGGATATGCACGGAGTTGGAAGAGGAGACTTGGGAGGGGCTGGAGGAAAGAAAGGGATGGAGGAGAGTGAGATGATTGTGTTTTAATTTGAAATGTATAAACATGCATGTGAGTGGGGCAAGCATCGCTATTTGAAAACAGATGTGGGCTGACATGAACTCTGCACTCTACTCCAGTGCGCGTTCATTTGGCTTAGATGGAACTGTGAAACTATCTCCCTCCTGTCTAAGTATATTATGAGAAAACAATGCATGAGGAGAACTGAGTTTTCTAATGAAGAGAAAAACAAAGGACTGACTCTATTCAACAGACCAAATGATGGGCAGAAATGAAGAGTGTAGCTAATGTTTAGCATTGACAGCCTTAACACAACGCAAAAACAGCAAAATATGTGAGATGACAAATTCCCAAACTATAGTAACATGGAGGGGAAAAAATACTGTTGCTTAAATAAAAAAAGACGAAGCTCTCCAAAGAGACCGTTTTCCGAAGAAAACACGGTTTTGCTTGACCGAGTTCCACACGTTCTAAGAGAAAATCTAGTACTGTTTATATCAAATGAACACACGACATCTGGGATTCAGAGATAACACATGATTCGGGAACTACAGACCAGGCTAAAGGAAACTTCTAGAAAGACAATGCCCAATATCCCAGCTGGGGAAAAACCCAGTTCAGGTAACAAAAAATCCTGATAAGTATATTCTTATTCCTGGTCAGAATGGAGTCAAGGTCATTTCTGGTTATGCCACAACTTAATCCCCTGATTCCTCAAGTGAGGGAGCAAGGGATGGGGACATGGCTGGTGAGCCAGGAGGTGTACAGAGCAAGAGCCACAGTGTTCCAAGGGCTGAGGGTGACAGCATGAGGGTTCAGGGACATCAGCCTCCACTGTGGCCTGTGGACCAGCATCTCCCCGACCCTCCTCTCCCCCAGCTGCTCTCTCTGGGTATATCTCCTCCCTGTCATCAGGCAACCTGCAGGGATCCTGCACATCTTCACCTCTCCCCTGTAGACTCCTTCCTTCCACATTGAATTTAAATGCTCTAGCTACCCGGATAAGCAGGATTTGCTGTTTGTTCTCGACAGAAAACTTGCTATTGGAAAGTCACCGATTACCTTGGAATATAATTTCTTTGTTGGGGTGGAGGAGCCATGCCATTTAAATAGGATGCTTGACTGGGTCCAGTGTTCTGAAGGAGAGTGCAAGCTGCCCCTTTCCTTTACCAGAAAGGAACACAGCTCCACAGAAACACCTTTCTCCCTTGGAAGCATCTGTGGGCTGGCTAAGCAGATGAACAGTCTCTGAAGAAGCCAGTAGGGGTCTGGCGAGCTTAGTGCAGCAGTTTAAATAGCACTTGTTCTTGTACAGGGCTGGGTTCACTGCCCAGCACCCAAATGATGGCTCACAACCATCTGTAGCTCCAGTTCCAGGGAATTCAATGCCCTCTTCTGAGTTCCAAGGGCACCGGGTATACACATGGTGCACATACATGCAGACAAAGCACCCAGACACATATAAAAATGAAAAAAGAAAATAATATTTTAATAATAATAAGAGGAGGAGGAGGAGGAGGAGGAGGAGGAGGAGGAAGAGGAGGAGGAGGGCAGCAGGGGCACTCTAGGCCCAGCACAGCACTAATGAATTTGGGAGCATGAGAGAAGAGCAGGTGTTGCCAGTGGTTACAGCAGATGACCAAGACGGGATGAATTCTGCACCAAGGCTAAGAAGCGTGGGAATGACAGACCGCGGGCTTCATCCGACTCCTCCCCCGACCTAGTCCGAAGCAAGTTCCCTGGCTCAAGTGCATCTTTGGGACTCTTCTGTAGCTCCTTTGCCGTCTCTGCAGCAGCCTGTCTGAGGCAGCATCCTGCTTGGCTACTGCTTCGGTCGTGGTCCACGTGGAACGGCCCCTCTGGAGTTACACACGATTCTCCTCCCCTGCACCCTAGGCCTGCAGGACCTCAGAACTGATTCTTTCCAAAGCACAGCCTTTTCTCCTTCACCACACACAAATATTCCTCATCTGGGGTCAATTAAAAGTATTGCGCTTGTCCAGATGTCCAGAAAATATAACTAGATATTAACCCAGGCCCTGCCTTTGTGTCCTTTACCCTTGCATGGGTGGATTGCCAGGTCCTCCATCTAGCTCACACATAACTCTTGAACCTGTCCATGCCCCCCGCCTCTCGCTTTCTCCATTTCTCTAGTTACCATTCCTTGCCTTCTAACTCATCCCCTGCCGCAGCTCTTACCTCCTTCAAACCACTAGCTGTCATGAGACTGGAATCATTTCTTTCTCTAAAATGCAGGCCCACATTTTGCCATCCCTGGGCTTGAAACCCCTGAAAGTCTCCTGTTGGATCTCAGAGGAGGACCTTTCCACTGCTAACTGCCTGCTGCTCCACCTTTAAAGGAACTGCTTACTTTCTCATGGACTCTTCTCTGAGGCAATCAGTAGTCACGATCCTGCACCTGCCACACATTTCCCCCTTCTGATAGGGCCCTTAATTTTTCTTATAATTTCTTGCCATAAAAATGTTCCAACTACAACTATCGGTATTTTTTGGTATGTGTTCCCCTGTTGCTGCGGAAGGTGACCCCTGACTCCAAGCCACACCAACTTTCTTGGATCCAGCTGGACATTGTTATGGTGTGGGGTAGGGCTCTGGCTTACTTCAGATGCATAGTCACTTATACCAGGGTCCCCCCACATTGAAAACTATAGTAGTAGATCAAAGTCTCCATGGTCAATCAAACTGCTACCTTTGTAACACACTCGTTTCTTCCGGAGACGTGGGCTGAACCCTCTAATCTATTCCTCTGATTGATTCGCCCACAATGCCTTAACACCATTTTTACCAAGGCACCTTTGTAGTGAGTTTTAATTTCTATTGAGGACCTTTAAATGATTCTAAAGAAACCCCACGGGAATTGTGATTAAGACTGCATTAAATTTAAGTGTCATTTTTAGGAAGGATTTATATTTCCGTTACAGTGTATCTTCGTGTGTAGGAACTTGATGTGGCCTGCCATTTGCTCAGATCTTAATGTGTATCCTTGGCAAGATTTCAGTTCCTTCCTGCAGGTTCTCTGACACTTTGCTGAGTTTTAAATAGTACAGCCTGCCCTCTGTTTCTAATGACTTCTGACATAAAATGAAACTATCACTCATATCTGCTTAATATACACCCACTTTATATAGTCTTCATATAATCATAATTATTCCTTACAGGATGTTTGAGACCCCTACGATTGCTAATAAGCGACATTTTCCTTTTCTACTATTATAAAAGTATTTCAAATCCATGTCTATAGTCCAAGAAGGAACTTGTGAAAACAAGACAGTTAAAAGTCAGCACCTCCTTCCTGGGCCTGGTTTTTAAGGAAATGGCTTCAGAAATTTGCCATTTAGCATGATATTTGCTTTAAAATTTGGGTAAATGTCCTTATCGTTATTCAGCAGTTCCCTTTCATTCTCAACTCACTAGCAATTTTATTAGGAAAGGTTGCTAAGTGTTATCAAATGTCCTTGTGGCATTTTTCGTGCAATCTTATTTTTCTTGAATTTGCTGTTATATAAAAAAAAAAAAAATCCAAGCTTTATTTTAACTCAGACTCTCCCTCTTTGTGATGTGAAGAATCCACTCTGGGGAAGACTTGGTCTTTTATGCTTGACTGTGAGCCTGTCCTGAGACTGGCATATACTAGATCTGAAGCCTCCCAGCAGCAGGGAAGGTCAGCCCAAAAGAGCCAAGGGACAGTGCATAAGGCCGTTCTTATTTCTGGTTAATGTTTGTGGTTTCGATTTCAGCTTTCTCTGGTGCAGAAAACATTGTCTTCCGCCTTTATTTTGTTGATATTTGCCCATTACCATTGTCCGCTTCATCTTAGACATCATTTCTGAAATAATACATAAGAACCTGCATTTCCAGTCTTCCTGGGCGCCTGTCTTCTGCGGTCATCCACACTTGGTAAAGTGGTTAATTCTTGTTTTATTACTCCCATCTTTGAAGTGACACGCTTCCTTGCTTCTTACTTGGGTTAAGTTAGCACTTCCCTCTCTGCCCATATTT